CACCCAACCACAGTCCTCACCACAACACAATTACACTCAAATACCCCACAACCAACCATAATCACCACCTCACTACCAATACCCCCATATGCCTCACACCCAACCACAATACCAATCACAATACCAACACACCTGCATACCCCACACACAATTTCAATCTTCCGTATATTCCAATATGGGCCCCTCAACGTCCAGCCTTAGCCCTGATCTGGGAATGTCAGAAGATTACGAACAAACCGACCCAGCCTACCATCAACCACAATAACACCAAACCACCCAACATCTTCAATACCAAACACCCCAAGATCCATTTCCTTTCTACCCATCGTACTCAGACGATCAATGCTACAAACCCACCATGGAACCCCACCCCCCCGCCAACACGACCAAACTTTGAGGGTATGGGTAACCGACTGTACCAAAGAAGATCTTCTAGATATGGAGATCTGACTGATTTTATGGATCCAGAACACATTGACTTCGCTGGGCCATCGACCCTGCCGCAGCAGGAAACGCGACGACACCCAGCACGGGAAAGGCGAGGACGGGGATGCGGAACCGGGGGTCATTACCGGGTTCCGGGGGATCACTGATTTATCTGGTTTTTTTTCTGTTTTTTTTATCTGTGTGTTTTTATCTGTTTTTTTTATCTGGTTTTTTTTATTTATTTTTTTAATGTAATACATTTGGATGTAATTATATTTTTTTTAATAAAAAGTCCATTTTGTTGATCTTGTATCTAATACGCAACGCACTAGACCAAAAAAAAATCAAATTTTGCCCTAGAAATACACATAGGCGCCATATCACTTGGCTTAGGGCATGCCCTAAGCACATAGGCGCCAAGTGAGATGGCGCCTCCCCTTAAAAAATGGGTGTAGGCGCCAAGTGAGATGGCTCCTCCTTTGGGGAGTCATCTGAAACATGGTTATTTGCGTAATTTTTTTCGAAACACGGTTATTTGCGGAAAAAAAATTTAATACTTGGTTATTCAAAAAAAAAATATTCGGAATATTATAGCATTGAAGTTGATGATATTTGTCACCGCCCTTAATTAAATCCTTGTCGTCCATTTCATAACTACCAACGCTCAAGACATTATGTTTAGTTATCCGCGTAAAACCTAGGTTAACTTTCATTATAAAAGCATTTTAAATATAAAAAATAGATAATAAAATGTCATGAAGCCCTTGAAAATGTCCTCCACTTAAAGATATGCAAGAGTCTTCTCTATAAAGTGTTCTCTATGATGGATTGCAAGAGCAGAAAATTATTTACGTTTAAGATTTGTGTACTTAAATATTAATTTATCTAACCCTTTTTTCATGTAACCCTTTATTTATCTAACCATTTTTTTGTTAATATCAGAAACAAATTCAAGGAAAAATAATTGAGAATATATTGTTTCCCAGCATTTCATCTTTCCAGAATATCAAGGATTTGAAGATCCAACATAAGTTCTTCATGGACAACTCAAATTTTGTATTGATATTATGTGTAAACAATGTAACCAGTTTAATATTCTGGATAAACATTGTATTTTGTAAATAAATTATTTTATTAATTTTCTTTGTAAATAATGTAACCAGTTTAAAAAAATACTAATAATTTACCCCTCAGTTTTATTGATAAACTGAGATACATGAGGCGTTATTATTGTAAATAATAAAAATGAAGCCGTTGAGGATCAAACCCATGTGCTATTAAAATACCCCTCGATATTTTAAACACCAGGGTGATAAGTATTTACTTTTCATGACAATCTTATTTACCTCGCTTCAGATGCCGAGGTAAAATGCATTCCGTGACCAACGTTAGATGTGATATTTGTAGTAGTGTCATCATCATCGCTTATCATCGTGATTGTTATGATGATAAGTCATCATAACAATTCTGATGATAAGCAACAATGATGAGGTAGACTTGGCCAATAAATTGATGTTATTCAAATTAAACTAGAATCGAAGGAATCGATGCCCTGCATGACTTATATCATTGAACCACATTCTATATGTTAAAGAGCATAAAATGAATTATGACAAACATGCAATTCAAAAAACAATGGTTTATTTAAGTTGGTTTTCAAGAATAGTTTAATTTTCAGATTATATACTTCTTCATCAATTTGAATGGTTGTATTTCTTCGGTGAGATGTATGGAAAAATAAACAATCTATATATATTATATAATAAACTCTAAGTACTTTACACAACGGTTATTTATTGTAACCATGATGAAATATTATTTATATTCCAAATAAATTGTTGCGGCTGGATTTCGAACCGAATACACACACACACACACACACACACACACACACACACACACACACACACACACACACACATATATATATATATATATATATATATATATATATATATATATATATATATATATATATATATATATATATATATATATATATATATATATATATATATATATATATATATATATATATATATATATATATATATATATATATATATATATATATGTATATATCACAACGGTTGATAAGCATAACTGTTGTGATAGATATCGCATGTCCTGCCTTATCATCACGATCTCACGACCATTGTGGAAAGCATCTGACATACAATCACACCTTACCTAACAATAATTGATCAGACGTTGTGGTATCCCTTTTTCAACTATTTTAGTATGACTTTTCCATAATAGTGTTAATACTAATTTTATTAATATAAATTATTTATTAAATATTTTAATATTATTATATACTATTTATTAATTAACTAATATTAACATATAATATGATGTCCTTTTCTTTTGCTCTCAAGCTTAACGAATAACAGTGATTGATCATTTTTATCGTCAATCTCTATTTCACACTTCAACACCATATATTAATTTGGTGAATAAAAAATAAGGATGAAAAAAAACAAAGAACAATTTGTGACAACGACGTTGGTTGTTCTCTTTTCTTTGAAGAGATTATAATACAATTTTTGTTTAATATAATTTATGGATCCTCGTCTTTGTTGTAAAAAAATATATTTATGTATTATTTTAAGTTTGAAATTTTGTTATACAAATGTGAATTAGAAGTCTTACGTTGGTTAGAAAAGTAGACGCTTGAACAATATATAATAGTTAGAGGACTTATAAATCTAATGTTTTAAGATTTTATGTGAAGATGTATCTCTATCACTATAGTTACACCCATCATAATCCAATAATATTTTTTCGAATGACAATGACCCAAAATATTATCAAAGTATATGATTCAACTAATTTATCAACTTTGTATAAAAAATCTTCTAGATAAGGTGGTGTTCATGTGACATGTTTATGTCTAGTTATTAAGACGAATGTCAATAACAATACAAGTGCATGTTGATAAGAAAAATCTTTCTTTTGAGAGGAACATATAATCAGATGAATTCATATTTAAAGGAAAGATTATTCTGATATAAGTATAACTTAAAGTCTCATATTATTGTTTGAAAAAGTAAAGATTCATCCATATATAAGTAAGAAAAAATACAGATAAATTTAATATTTAAAGTTTTATATAAAGATGTGATATCTCTATCATTCGTACCACTATTTTTGACCTAATACAAATACTCTTTTTATAATCCAACACGAAATTCTAATTAAAAATTAAAGACGTATTAGATGAAGAAATGATTTCACATAGAGAGAGTAATGTGAATTCGTCCGAAAAAGAAATAATTAGGTGAAGAAATGAAGTTAATAGAGATGAGAAAGAATAATTTTAGAGTAGGAGAATATAAAAAAATAAAGAATTTGTTCATATATTTTATGAGATTTTTTTTGAGAATGATAAGTAGACATTTATACTAATATAATTTTAATTTTAGAGTATTATAATAAAATAAATTGATCTTCAAAATTTTATGTAAACTCAACATTTTCTTTCAAAAAAAGTTCAAGTTCTCTGTTTTAAGAGATTTTATATTATGAAAAAAAATCAACCACCTATTCAAATTCACGGACCATAATTTTTTTCATTTTCCTTTTCACATTTCTTTGACTTAAATCCCCTTCCTTTCACTCTATTTCAAGTTCACAAATAAATTATTAAAGACCACAATTTTAGTTCTCAATATAAATAAATAAAAACAACTTTTTTAGATAAGTTCAAATCACAACAAAATATTGTTTTTCGGGAATAGGATTCTTCTCCACGAAATGTAAACTTGCCAACTTGTTACTTTTAAAATTCTTTTAATAAATAATAAATTGAAATTTATTAAATTTTAAGATTAAATTAAATTAAAAACAAGTATCGATGTATTCAATTTTATAAAAAATAAAATAAAATGTATCATAATAAATAGATTAACAATGCACTTTAGTAAAGTTAAATAAAAAACACCGATAAAAACACACAAATAATCAAGAGAGTATTTGAATTAGGTCTCAATAAAAAAACTTGAATAAAAATCAAAAAAATATTTCTCTCTATTTCAATTCAAGAGACCTATTCATCACCCTCAAAAACAAATATCATTTAAGAAATTAGGTAACAGAACTCCAAAAAAATATCAATGTCACTGTATATGTATTGTATGTAGAAGTAATATGTGTAAGTAATATTAGTAGTATAGCTTCAATTAAAAGTCAAAAGTTATAAATTAATTAGGCACTGTGAATTAAATGAACTGATCTAGAGAAGTTAACTTATTAAAAAGTAAACCCCCATAAAATATTACTTCAATTAAAGAGATATATTTAGACCCTAACAAAAATTAATAATAATAAAAGAAGAAAAAGAAACACTCATAACCAAAAAAAAAATAACAACCTCGTTTCACCTGTAAATATTGCACTTGAGCCACCTAAATTCACAAATCCATAATGATAGGTTTGTTCTATTGAAGATTTGTGTAACAGGTTAAAAAATAGATTCAAAGGAGCTTGTATCTCTTTTCACAATAATCATCTTTTTTTAATTTCATTTTTGTCTCCACTCTTACCACAACTTTTATGACTCCTATGGATCCTGATCATACATCACCATCAAAGATACCGCTGCATAGTCCTATCAAGAGACCACCACCACCTAAAAAGTATTCATTCACACCACCACCTCCATCACCACCTCCACCTAAGAAACCTCCATCAACACCACCACCTAAGAAGCCCTCATTGACACCACCACCTACACCATCACCACCGTCACCCCCACCTAAAAAGCCTTCTTCTTCACCACCACCGCCACATATATGGTCATCTTTTGCACTGCCTCCATATCTTATGATGCCACCACCTAAGACGACTCCTACGATATCAACACCGGCTTCTACCACTCCACCACCTACTTTTTCACCACTATATCCGATGACACCATCACCCAAGATGAATTCAATAACACCATCATCTACCCCTACAACAAAACCACCTACCTCGCCTCCTTCTGCGCCACCACCTCGTACATTGACCGCACTGAAGATGTGAAAAACACAAGAAGGGGGGGTTGAATTGAAAAACATAAATCAAAAACAGCTTAATGACACAGTATTTTTATCCTGGTTCGTTTGATCTCAAACTACTCCAGTCCACCCGTCAAGGTGATTTCGCCTCTCTCCAACGAGGTCTTAATCCACTAATCTCAAAGGATTACAACAACTGCTTTAACAACTGTTAAAGTCTTCTTGAGTATAACCACAAACCGGTTTATCTCAAGGAAATCTTTTATAAATAATTGAACAAGAGTGTGTTAACGTTTTCTAACAAAACAGTATATCACAATTGTGATAATTACACAAATTAAGCTTGGAATAAAATGAATTTGCTAAAGCTTTGAATATGCGTGGTTTGGATAGCTTGGAAAATTGTTGAGTGCGTACGTACGTGCTTCTTTCACAAGCAGACTTGTTTATATAGGCAAGCAAGAGACGTTGTCCATAAAGCAAGTTTAATGATAATAACACACTTTCCTTTTGAAGAAGATCTTGTCTGAAGAAAGCCGTTAGCATTTAATTCTGTCTTGAATAATTAATAACGCTTCAGAATCTTCTTTGCTTTAACTGCTAATAACGCTTCAGAGTGTTGATGACTTGGTAAAAATGTCTTTGATCAGAGTCAAAGTGTACTTGTTTAGGCGCAAATTCTGGTCATCAAACTTTAGCGTATAATCTGGTAGCTTCATCGTGTAGCACATATTGCTGATCTTATGATGTTGATTCCATCAGAACTTCTGCATATACAAAACATAATTTTAAGTAGCATTTTTGTTCTTTGTATATATCTTTGGATTTATTTATTCTTTGTATTTTCTTATCATCAAAACTCTAATCAAGGGTTGTAGAATCAAACTATGTTCTAAGAATCTCCCCCTTTTTGATGATGACAAAAACCAGATTTTTCAATTAAAAATAAAGAATAATAAGTATAGAATTTAAGAAGAAAAACTCCCCCTGAGTTGATTACTTCCCTTAAATTCTTTGAGTCCTTGAGCAACAAAATTTGACTACGTCTTTCATCAGAGTTTTGTACTTGTTCAAGCTTTTCAGAAGAAAGAAATTAAGTAGATCAGAATGTTTGAGACTTATGTCTCAGTAATCCGTTATTGAAAATATCTTATTCTTTCTCCCCCTTTTTGTCAGTTATCAAAAAGAACATATAATCAGAGCTAAAAAGGATTTAAATTTAAAATAGGAAGCAATGATAAAAAGTTCAGAACAACAGCAATGTAGAACAAATATTACAGATAAACAGATTTTAAAAACAAGGAAAATCTAAGATGGAGGAGGAAGGCGCGTGAACAAAGCTTCCAACAAGCCCTTGATCTGGGTGTTGGTTTCCTCTTGTTTTCTTAACATGCTCTTGATTTCCGAAATTTTGTCATCCTGTTTATCCATCCTTTCTTGCATAATAATATCTGCTCTTTTCAGTTCTTCCAGAGTCTGCCTTTCATAGGAGGAAGCTTGAGAATCTTCAGTAACTGGATGCTTCTCAGAGCATTCCGCAACATGATCTTTTTGAACCAATTCCTCTGCAGGAATCATCTCATCTTAAGCAGCAGTCAGAGTAGGATCTTCTGACTCTGGTTGAACTTTGTCTGCTGGACGAAGTTCTGACCAGGGAGCATTGTCTAAAGGGAGAATCTCTTCCTTGAGCAGTTGGCTCAGAACTTGGTCTTCAATTACCTTTAGCAGATTACTGAAATTCTGTTGAACTTGTCAGTAGCTCTGTTCTTGCATCTTATGAGTTTCAGAACTTACCCATTTTCTGAAACTTGTCCAAAGATAATCTGAAGCAGCAAGATTAATCATCTCAAGACTAGCTTGCTTCAGGTAGGTTATCCACTTCTGCATTTCCGTTTCAAACATCAATAAACTAGTACCAACATCTGGTGTGGGTTCAGATGGTTTTGGTTTTGGAATGGCTGTTTTGTGGGTTATGGCAGCAAGACGTTCAAAAACAGTTAAATCAATGGCAGTTTTGGCGTTGTCATCTGGATTGTTCTTTGGTGAGGGAGTGGGAGAGTCTGGTATAATTATTGGACTAGTTGGGGAATTTGGTGGAGTTGATTATAGTGAAGAGGGAATTTGGGGAATATCCAGAATGGTCAGGGGCATATGGATGTCCATAGGTTCAGTGATTCCAGGAATGGGAATGGTATCAGAATCATCAGTTTGGTTGGATTGAACGTTATGAGATTCTGGTTCACAGGATTCAGAAGGTTGGACCTCATAAGTTTGAACTTCTGGTTGTGATTGTTCAGGTTGTGGAGAAGGTGGATGAATTTCTGGTTGAGGAGATGGAGGTAGTGCTATTTCTGGTTGTGGTGCTTCTGTAGTGGTTTTAGAGTTTGGATTTTCTGGTGTGGGAGCAGAAATATTCTGGTCAAAAGTTTCAATATCTGACAGAACTTTTGCAAGTTCTGGTTGAGTTGTTTCAGTATTTGGATTGATAGGTAGGGAGTGAGTTTCTCTAAGATTTAAAGTTTCTGAGGGGTCAAACCCTATGTCAAAATCATCAAATGTTTGTGGGGTAGGAATTTCTGATTGGGTACGAATTGGTTCAGGTGTTGATAAAGATATTGATTCTAAAACATTAACAGTAGAAGGATTACCTCTCTTTTTAGCAGCTTTGGGAGTCCGCTGGGATGATCCTTCTGCTGCTGCCTTCCTTTTCTTGTTCTTCTTCAGCACAACTTCTGGAGCCGCCTGTTGCAAGTCCTGAATGTTTAACCCTGGTGCAGTGTCATCTGCCTTGCATGCATCCAAGTATCTGACAATAATCTCAGGCTTGGAATCAATTTCTGAGAACATGGGGAAATCATCCAAAGGAATCCTTTTGCTAGTGATTGTTGCAAAAGAAGTAACACTGGGTTCCTTCTTGATGTTCTCAATAATCTTCATCTTTTTCAGATTCTTCGCATTCAAAGGCTTTCCAGTAGTTGCCTCTAAAGAGCTGATTTCCTGTGCTTCTGTTAGATGCTCTATCAGCCTATTCTCTATCAGAATATCTGATATGAGCCTTCCAAGGGGTATCTATCCCCTTTTGGTGCCCTCATCTTCTCTAGTCTCCTTAACACTTGTCCTCAGATGATTGAATAGTAAGTAAGCCAGATTCACCTTAGTCTTCTGGGAGATGAAGTAGATCAGAAACTGCTGATCAATGTTTATGTAGTCAGGAGAGCTGGTTGGCTTCCCGTGGTTGATGCATCCCAGAATAATCTTAGCCCATATTCTGTGATGGTCCTTCAGATCCCTTATCTTGTTGGAGGGAAGACCCAGAGTGAAAATTTCTCTAGCAATTGAAGCCACATCAACACATCTTTCAGCCATGTCTATACACCTTACGCCACCACCACTGTAACCTATCAATCTTGCAATAAGGTCTTCAGTTATGACTATCTTCTTCCCCATTACATACGAAGTAACTTGATGGTTGGAGGATGAAGCATGAATCCAAAATTCCTTCACAAGGATTGGAAACGTTGGACCTAGAAGACAGTCAAAATACATGTTCCATCCTTGAGCCTTTACTTCTTCAGACAGATTGAATCCATTCTCTTGAGGACTTTCAAAATCCACGATCAGTTCTGAAAGCACTTCTAGGTTGTCAATGGGCGTGAGGAGAGTTCTGAATGGTTCTTCATATTATTCTGTGGATTATGTTCTCTGAGTACTGGAATTTGGGATGCTTGAGGAAGCCATGTTCACACAGAAAATTTGAGAAGAAAATGAAGGGGTTTTGAAAGTACAAGCAGAAAACAATTAGATTGAGAGAAAGTGAAAGTGAAAGAGTGTAAAGAGTGAAAAATACGTTTAAATAGATTTTGAAAACATAAACTGCAAGAGAGAGAAATAAATTGTAATGATTATAAGCATTAATGACATATGATTTTAGGGGATTCAGAAAGATATTGGAACGGTTACCCATGACATGTGTCTCAATGCATCCAATCAGGGCTTTTGACCTTTCAGAAAAATGAACGCGTGTTCAGCCTCAGAAGGTAGCTGATGAATGGATGACAATTGTTTGCTTACGTGAACAGCACACTTCTATCCTTGAAATGAAACGCTCAGATCTTCATGGATAGATTCTGATACAATCTGTACTTCTAAAAATCTGAAGGCGGCTTGATCAGCAGTTCACAGAAAATAATAAAAAATTATGAAGATTAAGATATGTAAATAAAACAGTTTATTCTGGGCAAAGCTTCATGCTGAGATGTTTCAGAATGAAGTTAAACCTATCTTCAGAAAGAGGTTTTATAAAGACATCAGCCCATTGATGGTCCGTGTCAATGAATTTTAAATTGAGAATCCCTTTCTGAATATAGTCCCTAATAAAATGATGTTTTATTTCTATATGCTTAGCCCTAGAATGCAAGATAGGATTTTTACTAAGACAAATAGCAGAAGTATTGTCACAGAGGATATGTATGTTACTCCCAAATATATTGAAGTCCTCAAGTTGACTTTTCATCCAGAGCATTTGCGTGCTACATCCAGCTGCTGCTATGTATTCAGCTTCTGCTGTTGAAAGAGCTATTGTGGATTGTCTTTTGCTGGACCATGAGATCAGATTTTCTCCCAGAAACTGGCAGCTTCCAGAAGTGCTTTTACGTTCTACTCTGTCTCCAGCAAAATCAGCATCATAGTATCCTACTAGGCTGTAATCACTTGATTTTCTATAAAACAACCCTAGATTAGCAGTACCTTTCAGATACTTGAAAATTCGCTTAACTGCTGTTAAGTGAGATTCTCTAGAATCTGATTGGAATCTAGCACAAATGCAAACACTGAATAGAATGTCAGGCCTTGAGGCCGTCAGATAGAGAAGAGAACCAATCATACTTATGTAGACCTTCTGTTCTACCTTTTTACTTAGCTCTTCTTTTTCCAGAATGCACGTGGGATGCATTGGAATCCTTGATGGCTTACATTCTGAGAGATCAAATTTCTTCAGAAGTTCTCTGACATATTTGCTCTGATGAATGTAAGTTCCTTCAGGAGTTTGATTAATCTGAATG